CGCTGCGCCCGCCCCCGTCGTCTTCGTGGCCGGCGCCGCCGCTGCAGCTGCACATCCTCCGGCTTAGCTCGCCATTGCAACAGGAGCCCCTCACGTCACGCACTGCGCGTTATGAAGCGGCCCCGGCGGCGGCGAGCTGTGTGGCCCCTCTCGGGATCCGTCCGCGCCCCGCGATTGGCGCAAAAGTGAATGGGGGGCGGTTCACGTGGCCAAAGTTTAACTAGGAAAAAAAAGCGCCCCGCCTGCGGCTGCCGGGCGGCGGAGGCGTGGGCCGCAGCGGCCGGGGCTGCCCGTTATCCGCGCCGGTGGCCACGCCCCCGCCGCCCGAGCCCGCGCCCCGGGCGCTGAGGCTACGGTCCGAGGGCGTCGCGGGTGTGTCAGGAGCGAACGTTGGAGAAAGGACGCCGCGCGTCCCTCCCGCCGGGACTAAGCGGGGATCCGCCCGCCGTCCGCGCCCGGCGCTCTGCGGGAGGCGAGCCCTCCCGCACGGTTCCCTGCAGCTCGAGTCTGCAGAAAGAAGCGGGGAAGCCAGGCTTGATGTGCAAGCTCCTCGCACAGTGTAGCAGTTAGTGGATGTCCAAGAAGTGGTCCTTGATGTTAATACACCGGATGATAAGCACTGTTGCATTTTATTTGTATCTCAGTTATTTCGTCCCTTAATAATGAAGAAGTGGCCCCAAACATGCTGATTTTCTGTCCCTCATTCCTGGGTTCGCTTCACTAAACAAGCATGTGCCAGGCCCAAGCAAGTACTTTGCTCTTGAAGAGCTCCATCAGAAAACCCCAATATATTGGCAACAGTTACAAGGCTGATGTGGATGATAACTGTATTTATAGTCTGTGTGGGCAGATAGCTGGCCGCTACCTTCGCGAGAATCCTTGGCAGTATTTTAAGAGTCAATCTCTAAACGGATGTGAATTTGTTTTTTGAGTAGTAGGGATTGAACCTAGGAGATAGACATTTGTGGGGGTTTTGTTTTGTTTTGCTTATTAAAGACAGGGGCTCACTAACTTACCCAGGCTGGGCTCCAGCTTGTGATCCTACCGCCTTAACCTCCAAAGTAGCTGGGACTGCCAGTATAGGCCCCATGTCCAGCTAGAGCTATGGATTTCTAAGGCAGGTTTGGGGTACCAGCTCTTCTACACTGGATTTAAAATTTCATACATTTCCTTAGCAAAAACAGGTAAGGCAACAAAAGCTGAGAAGGTGCCCCACAACAAATGTTTGTAAATATTACTCTTGTTACTTACTCGCCAATATATTGGGGTTTGCTAATGAAACGCTTTAAAAGCACAGTGTTTCGTTGGGTCTAAGAAGTTCACTTTAATCACATGAACCCAGGAATTAGGGACAGAAAGTGAGCGTGCTTGGGGTTATCCTTGGATCTTTCTTGGTGACTAATAGGACCAAATGGCGGAAATATTACACGGGTTAAAATACCAAGCTACTGGAGACTCAGATACCTTCTCTGCAACTGAATGGTGGTCTCCCTTGTTTATTCTTTGGATATCACCATTTTCTTGGATGCTTGTGATTTATGTCAAAAATAGTCCATTACCCAACTACCCACGATCTCCCTCCCTAAGAAGTGATCCACAGCTAAAAATAAAATGTTCATTATATAGTGAATGCAGGATTCCAGCAGTGGTCTTGAGAAAAATACAGAACATACAACCGTGAATTACAGGCTCGAAAATCATCCAAAGAAGCTTCCAGTAAGACCATAAACCACAAAAGCCGAGGAGTCACTACATAGCCCCCAATTCAGCAGTAGCCCCATAATTCACAAGCATTTACATAAAGCACAAATCTGGCAAGGGACAGATGTTCAATCTTATGACATAGGCAATGATTTCAGTATAGTGTCTGTATCTTCTAACCTGCTTTTAGAGGTGTCTGTATTTCTAAAATTCAATAGAAAGTACAGAAAAGTGTGAAAGGAAAATACTTGAAAGATGCTGAAAATTTTGTGCTCAATTCCCTGGTTCCTAGAAATCCTTCAGTTCCGAGGTCAGCGATGTTGCCTGCCTCACCCACAGGCTCAGTGGGGATGCCCTCCACCCGGGCCAGCGCTGCTAGGACAAAGGTGACGAAGCCGGATTGATCAGATTGTACAGGTATGTCTCCACAGTAAACTAAGGAAAGAATTTTAATGATTCTGGGTTCTTGATTTGTTGCACTAGGAACCTTCTTTGTTAAAGTTTTTCTCTCATTGTAAAAAAAGGAGCAGTGTTAACTATCTTCAGAGAAAGATGAACCAGGCACTTTTTTTACATGAAGACTGGTGCATACGCCACCCGAGAGGGGGCCTTGACCTGTGTGTCAGCGGTCATGGGCCCAGGATGGGGTCTGAGTCCTACATGGATTGAGTCCCAGCAGGGGCCACCATCCTCCTCCCCCGTGAGATCCCGTTAAAGCCTCTTCTATGGTGACTACAGACTGACCTTCAGGATTTTTTTTTAAATGTCAGATCGCCTATTTCCTTTCTATTTGCCCAAGTGTAACTCTATGACACATCATTAAAATTCATCTCTACCTACATGACTGAACATCTTCTCACAAATTACAACTTTGTTCTCACCCGTTACATTTTTTTTCCCCTGCTGCTAATACATTGAATGTCTGTTAGAGGTATAACATTTCATATAATTCGCAGCAATTTCTTGGAAACCTTTGGTAAATACCTCAATTGTTCGTTGGCAGTAAGCCTTGAACTGCCCCCGGTTCCCTGTAAGGGCTTCTTTAAAGACGCAGCATCTGAACTTAAGCCTTAAACAGGGGTCCTTGGAAAAGTGGCCATAATTTTTTTTAGAAAGCCTTTTACAAATGCCTCTTTTAAGAAACAGTGAATGCGGAGGAGTTATAATAATCAGTCCTTTTAGAAGGATCTGTTCGCTGCCTACACAGAATATCTGTAATGACCACTTTACTAATGCTACCACTTAACCTCTATTAACCCAATGAAACTTTGCTTTATTATTAATGCTGTGAAAGTGACAGGCAAAGCGTCTTAATTTTTTCTTGCTATTTCCCTGATTTGCAGCATTTCCGGTCAGAGGCGGGATAGGACAGTGGTGATGGCTTCCCTTCTATCTTCCAGACACCAGCGGGGCCAGCACTGGTTGTCAGGATGCTGATCAGCTGTTTTGTCAGGCACAGGTGTATTTCTCGGGCAGGTGTGTGTGCGTGCGTACATGGACACGAGCGAGGCGGAGACAGGAGAACCTGGCACGAGACTGTGTGCCGGCCTGGTAAGATGTCCTCCCGCTAACTCAAAGGCACGGGCTGCCACCAGTGCAGACGCTCTTGGGAAACGACCTAACCTTTCTTTGGGAGAAGAAGGACAGTTTGCTTCTAGTTTAAGACTTCTTTCTGAGTACCAGACAGGTTTGCTCTTCCCATCGGTTGCCATGAAATGCCATTAACCTTTAAAAGGCTGCCGGAGCTTCCCCAGCTGGAGAGTTCACGGGAAGACAAAGCTCCCATCTGTGCGTGGTGGCGGCGGCGGTGGGCCAGGGACAGGGAGGCAGCGCTGCCCTCCGCATCAGAAGCCAGGCCCTGGTCCACTGGGCAGCAGTGTGGCCACCTGGAGTCATCCACACTTGGGGCAGGGCTGGGCGTCTCGGGGAAACCTCCAGATGTGTAGCCAAGACTCTGTTTTCCTCAAGGCCTGGTGAAACATAAAATTGCTTGTGAAAAAAAAACACAAGCTGTAAGCAAAGGTTATGCTGCTGACTGAAGCAGCGGTCATTCAGATCTCCAAACGCCCGAAGTAAGATGCAAGAATAAAGACGAGCTCACACCACACGAGTTGCTGCTAAGTGACCCATTCGGTTGCGGTCTGGGCACACACTCTGTTATTCCGCTGCCGGGCCAGCGTCGGGGTCGTACACATCATCACTCGCCTGACAGGTGATCAGGGCTGTTATCCAGGCCTGGCGATGCAGGGCTGCCCACGAATTGCGACTAATAAGGCTTTGATGACACATTCTGTCATGGAGTCCGTGGGAAAGGAGGCCCTCCAACATGCCGCAAGGACAGAGGAGACAACTCATTTTGAGGGCAATTTTGTCAACATGACAAATGGCAGTTTATTTACTCTTGACCCGGTTATCCTACTTCTGAGAATTTACCCTGGAGATATACAGTAGGGAATGACACTCACACGAGGTGATTCCCTGCTACACTGACTGTGATAGTGAGTGTTTCATACACAGGGGTTCGTGTACAGGGGGATGAATGAACAGACGACAGGAAGCCATCAGAGAGGGAAATACAGGTGCTGTCCATGTGTAAGGGGACTCCAGCTGAACAGCCTACCATCAGATGAAAATATCCTAAGGGAAAAATGCCTGGACTCCACCTAAGCTAGAGTCACACAGCTCAGCGACACAGCACCCTGTGACAACGTGCTTCCCTGGTGATCCTGTGACGGCCTGGAGCCTCAGCTCTTACCAGCTTCAGAGGAGAGGACTGGACCACAGATCACCCGCTTGGGAACAGGGCGACATTCGAAGTTCAGTCACAGTTCCCACCGAATGCATATTGCCTGTGTCTCCAGGCAAACTCCAGAAATCTGAAGTCAAACCCTTAAATCAGGGCCATCCGGGTTCTGCAGCCGGGAAACGGAGGGGCCGGCTCCGTGCTGAAACGGAGAGGGTTCCATGGGGCGAACACCAGGAAGCAGAAGGAGTAAGAACGCTGTTAGTGTTTGTGTAAAGTACTACAGAGGCGCACAAGAAATCAAAGCAGTGACCGGGAGGGGGAGCAGTGCAGAGCCAGCGAAAGGGGGTGGAAAGGACGGTGGGGAACGATTCCCCAAGGAGTACTTGTAAATGTCAGCCTAGCCCGGTATTAGTGATCCGTTACCCTAACAACGGCAACAACAGAGATGGTTCCGTCTCCCCACGAGTCCGAAGCTCTAAAATATCAGTAGAGTACAGACCAGAGATTCCACCTGACAGCCCGAGGCATGGAGCTGGTCAGCCGCACAGTGGGTGCTGTCAGGGCCACGAGCCAGGGGGCCAGAACCCAGGCCGAGGATACCTCAGAGCCTGAGCAAGAACCCTCAAAGTACTTTCCTTCAGGTTTTATCTCTCGTTGCTCTGCAAGTGATCACAATAGAAATTTCAGAGATGAACCGACCTTTTCCTTCATAGTTTTCTCAACATATCCTCGTATTCCTCCAGCATGGGAGAAATAGCAAGAACCTTCTCAAATCACCAGAAGACCTAGATAGGCCAAGCATCCTCATCTACAATGTTCCAAAGTCTGAAACTGAGCGCTGATAGACGGCCAAGTGTGAAAAATCCCAGAATGTGAAACTGTTTCATGCACAAAATTGTGATAAATATTACATAGAGTGACATTCATGTTATATATAAAGTGTGTATGAACTTAAGTCTCAGCTCTACAGTATCTCGTTATATTTAAATGCAGACATTCAAAAAATGAAATCAGAAACACTTCTGGACCCAAGAATTTTGGATAAGAGTCATTCATCCTGTACTTTCTTTCCTGTTGGGCCTTCTTATTTTAGTAAATCACAGTACAACGAAATGCTGGGGTGAGGACAGGTAGAACTGTGTGACCATGGCGCCCTCTAGTGGTAGATGTCTACGCCTGCTAAGTGAGGAGTTTTTTTTGGTTGTTTTTTTTTTTTTCCGGTACCGGGAATCGAACTCACGACTTCGCGCTTGCCAGACAGGTGCTGTGCCACTGAGCTAAATCCCCAGCCCCTAAGTGAGGATTTTTTTCATCTTGGATTGAAAAACAATGGTGAGACACTATAGCTAATGATAACCTATTTCTTTTTCTTTTTTTTTGTACTGGGAATAGAACTCAGGACCTTGTGCTTGCCAAGCAGGTGCTGTGCCGCTGAGCTGTATCCCCAGCTCTTCTTCCTTTTTTTTGAGACGTGCATATTTCTAATTATAGCCCAGTCCAGCATTCTCCAAGGTTATGTTCTGGTTAGATGGTGATACTTCTAAAGTGAGAAAAGTTGAACTAAAAAAACGGGAAAACCGTGAGCTGGAATCTGCCTTATGAAGCTGACTGAGACTAGGGGGTGGGCTCTGTGGGTTCGGTAAGCACCCCAAGTACTCCTGATACCCAGGTTGGCATGGGAGCCATAGATCTCCTCTTTCATGGCCACATGGCCGATGAGCCCCCGATGATGCAAAATATCAGCCAGTGTAGACTTCTTCTACAGACGCTGGATGAGAGGTTTATGTCTTCCTGCATCCGCCGGAGACCATGAGATGCAGAGCTCACACAGGAGAGTTTATCTGGAGGTCCCCACGGCAGCAGTTTGGGGCTCCAGATGAGCATGACATAGCTGTACAACACTGAGGTTTTGAGGGTGTACCCCACTCTGCCCACTGCATCCACCAGCGTCAAACATGCTCCGGAGCTCATCTGAGTGCCTTCCCCAAGCCTGGAAAAGCCTGATGCTGCAGGGGCCAGGCGGGCATGGAGGCAGGGTGCCATCAGAGAGGGTGACGGATTCAAGGTCAGAGAGCTTGTCCACATTCAGGGGCTTTGTCAGCCTCCCCAACATCGAAGCAAAGGCACCACGCCCATCTTTGTCGCCTCCAAAGGACCTGGGCGCAGTCCTGGCTCCCTTGGCTTCCTGGCTGCTAGGAAGTGGGCGGTTTCCTCTGGCACATGCCCCCACCGTGGTGTACTGTGCTGCCACAGGCCTGAAGGCCGCAGGCCCAAGGGACCTTGGAGTGACACACCCAAATCTGTGAGCCCAGCTATATCTTCCTTCCTCAAAAGTTGATTATCGTTGGCATTCTGTCATAGCAACAAAACTAGCACAAAGGGGCCATTGACCTCTTTGAGACTTCTGTTTTCTTTGCACTTCTTCTGAAAATGCCACTTTGAACTGGTTAGCACTCATGAACTGTGCTGTGGGGTTCTGCCAATCTGTCCCCTCTTCCTTCCCTCCCTCCCT